AATGGGTCGATCACCATTTTCGATCTTGGTGGCTACGCTAAGCGACGACGAGGGGTGGCGGGACACGCTAGAGCAAGCTACAGCGACGCACAACCGTCCGCGACGGTGGCACAGCTGCCACGGCGATCTAGAGCACCTAAGAACCTAACTGGCTAGCGAGGGAGCATCAGTAGACTACCGTGGACCTAGCCGAGGTGACGGTTGGGGTGGGGGTGGCAGAGGAAGGTTGGCCACGTGAAAGCTCTAGTTTGGTTTTGGTGAATTGATGAAACCCTAAGTGCTAACCTAGTTCATCAAGTGATCATGAGATAGGTAGCACACTTCAAGTAGAGAAGCAAATGAAGATCATAACATGACAATAGTGATAGCATGGAGATGATCAAGGGCTTACACTTGAAGAGAAGAAAGAGAAAAACAAAAAGCTCAAGGCAAAGGTATAAACCATAGGAGCTATTTTGTTTTGGTGATCAAGACACTTAGAGAGTGTGATCACATTTAGGTTTGATAGCCGTACTATTAAGAGGGGTGAAACTCGTATCGGAATACGGTTATCAAAGTGCCACTAGATGCTCTAACTCATTGCATATGCATTTAGGATCTAGTGGAGTGCTAACACCCTTGATAATATTTGTGAAAATATGCTAACACATGTGCACAAGGTGTTTGCGAGGTTGAGATGGGTTTGGGTCCTCTCTCCCTCCCGCCTCCATAAGCTTCGGCGGGATTCGGCGCTTTTCGGAAAATGAAATGTCCATTTTCTATTGCATGAATGCAAAATTTTTGGTGGTTGGCACACTTGAGCAAGGGTGAAGAAGTAAGAGTTGAAATGGAATTGATCGAAATGATGTCAAGGGCGTCGGTCCTGTGGACCGGACGACGAATCAGCTGCACCGGACGCCGAAGGTTGCGTCCGGTCACATACCGACTTCAGTGATACAGATGGCTAGGGGTTGAGCACCGGACGCTGTCTGCGTCCGGTCAAGGTGGACCGGACACGTCCGGTCGAAAAAACATGCCTCGGGGAGCTTACTGGAAATGACCGGACGCTGGGGCTTCAGCGTCCGGTCAGTTTTACCGGAGCGTCCGGTCAGCTTCGCGACCGTTGAAATCTGACGAACAACATTTGAAGCTGGGGACACGTGGTGTGAATCACGTGACCGGACGCTGAGGGCCAGCGTCCGGTCGATCGGACCGGAGCGTCCGGTCACCCCGCGTTGTGCATAGTGAAGGGGTACAACGGCTCTATTTCATTGGGGCTCTATTTATAGCCCCATGGCCGGCTCAAGGGATAACTCTTGCACATTTTCATTGATATAACAACCTTGTGAGCTTAGCCAAAGCCCTCCCACTCATCTACATCATTGATTCATCATCATAGTGAGATTGGGAGTGAATCCAAGTGCATTGCTTGAGTGATTGCATCTAGAGGCACTTGGTGATTGTGTTTCATTGCGGATTTCTCTTGTTACTCTTGGTGGTTGCCGCCACCTAGGCGGCTTTGGAGCAAAGAAAGATCGTTGAGTGGAGGAGGTGATTGTCTCCGACTCGATCGTGGTGATTGTGAGGGGTTCTTGACCTTTCTCGTGGAGCGCCAAAAGGTACTCTAGTAAATTGCTTGTGGCTTGTGTGATCCTCATCTTGTGTTGGTTGTGCGGCACCCTATTGAGGGTTTGGCGAGTGATGCCAATTAGCGCGTGAACCTCCAAGTGAGTGAATCGCCATTAACGAGGACTAGCTTGCTTAGGCAAGCAAGTGAACCTCGGTAAAAATCATTGTGTTCATCATTGATTCCGAGGTGATTGGTCATCATTGTTATTCATCTTCGTGATTGATTGGTTCATTCATCTACACATGGCAGTATAACCTCTTGATCACTCTCTTTACTTTACATCAAACTAGTTGACAAGCTCTTTAGTGTAGCTAGTTGTGAGAGCTTGCATGCTTGGTTGGTGTGGCTCTTTAGTTAGCCTTTGAGAGCACACTAACATAGGGTAGTGTCATTGCTCTTGTGTGAATTGACACTATCTAAACTAGAATTGTGGTAGGTGGCTTGCATTTTTGAGTAGGCTAGCGCAACACTAGCTTCGCCTCATAATTGTCTAACTATTTGGTTAAGTGTTGTTGTAGAAATTTTTATTAGGCTATTCACCCCCCTCTAGCCATTAGGACCTTTCACCACGTGCGGCCAAGCTGTGCGGCGGCGCACCACGGCGGCACGGTCGCATCAGCGACGACGGGGAGGCGGTGGCGGTTTTGCTGACGTGCGCAAGGTGGAGAGGGAGGCAAGGCGATGCTAGTTGTGTAAGTGAATTGGCTCGGGAGGGATGGTAGGAGGGATGCCCATATTCACAGTCGGACGCGGTCTTATCGGCACGGCGACGGGGAAACTCTAAAATTAGAGCTTGGCCGTGCGCACATCAAGACTGGGTGGGGTCGGGCAGCGGGAGGACATGACGGTGAAGCCGTGGATGCGATGAATTGAATGGAGGTCATCGTTCACGGGGTAATTTGATGGCGCTGCTTGATGGTGGTAGCAGAGGGAGAAAGAGAGACGGGGCGCGGCAGGTGGACTCGGCCCGTCCTTGCCCAGGTGGGACACGGTCGACATAATCGTGGAGGCCCACGCGCAGGCGCTAGCAGACAGGTGAGGGGTGCATTCGTCAACGTCAAATGAGTACTACTACCAGGTAACTATGGGCTATGACTTCGTTAAAAGATACTCCCTATTGAATATAATTCTAGCACATTATCTTATTTCAGTATAATCAATTTGATCAATTATATATAAAAAACTAAAAAAGATAATATAAAATAAGTATCATTAGATTTGTCATTATATATATTTGTATGATATATTTATTTGCTATATATTTTTTTGCTTATATATTTCATCAAACTTTAGACAATAAAACCAAACATGCATCTATAAATCATTTTTTATGATAGAGGTAGTATAAGCGTAAAGCTTCTTGATTGAGCTATTATAGTAGCAATTACTTTTTAAATGTATATGTGTGCGTGCACGCTAAATTATTCAAATTTATTGCCCTCCTTCTCTAAACCGGTAGTTATTTATTTCAATCAAATGTGACAATTATAGTCTTTATTTAAATAAATGTATGAAACTTTTAATAGTTTTTTTAAATCCTGGTGCAACGCACGGATATTTTTTCTAGTCTATATAATAAATTTCTAAAATTAATAATTAAAGATATGGATAGACTAGTAAAGGGAACAGAGGAAGTCTATAAAACGTCCAAATTTCCATATTTGTTAAACCCTCGCATTGCAGGGCGGACACGTAAAACCCACGACACAGGCACACAGCCCAGGTCCTGGGTGGAAATTTGGGAACCAAAAGGTCGTCGCGTGTTCGCGTGCTGGGGAAGTTTCCTGGAAGTCGCACGACGCGGCGGGGGTTGGAAGCAAGGAAAAAGAAAAACCCTCTGGTCCCGCTCGCCAGTGTCCCGGCCAACTCCAGTCTCCCGCGCCTTTAAAAGAGCCTTTCCCCAGCCACGCGATCCCTCCCCCCCATACAAACCGCATCTCGCATCCATTGACCAGACGGCGGCGGCTCATCTTCTCCCCCACGGTTCTCCCCATCGGCCTGCTGGCTTCCCTTCGTTTTCCCCGTAAGCCCCTACGATCAACCTTACTCTTCATATTCTGCGTTGATCTGTTCGAATTTAGGGCTTTGTAGGCCGATTAGGTTGGGATTAGTGTCGATCTGGGGTTCGATGCAAGCGCGGGGATTGTGGATCCGATTGGTTTGGGTTGAGGACTTTCTGGGGCCTGGGTTGAGGATTGGGGCATTAATTCGTCGATTTTGCGATTAGAGGTGGTGGATCTTGGATCCGTTTGGTTTCATCCTCGATCGGTCGATTGGGGGTTCTTGGTTGGGGTTGCGAATTAGGGTTGTTGGTTGGTTGTGTAGCGTTGACTTGTACGGTAGACTTGTATCTTTCTTGAAGTCGATTTGGGGATCGTATTAGAGGTTTGATTGATCGTTGACTTCGGTGCTTCACTAGAATTTTGTTGATTTCCTCCCGGATAACACGATGAATATGAATATGCCTCTAAAAGTTGGATTAGATGGTGGATCAGACGCATCTGTCTGCTGATGTGACAATTGTCCCCTTTACTCGTGACACTTGTGGGCAGTTTGCGCTTTAGAATCAACTGTCTACTGACATGCCTTTTTTGTTCGAAATTGAATACGCTTCTTGTACCACATAGGTTTGACGGAAGGTGTTAATCATGTCATTTCATCTAGTCATGATACAAGATAATTCTTTTAAGTATCATGCCTGCATATTTTGAATATTCCACATATGATCCTTCTGTGTATTCACCTATCCTGTGTTTTCTTTTTATGCAGGATACTGATCCTCATCACCCATGTCTGCTGAAGTTGCCGGAGGACACCCTTATTTCCTCTCGTGCTACTTCTGGTTCATATACTGCATAAAATTCCGAGATTTCACTTGATACAAGTGGAACACTAGGAGTTTTGTGCTAATACTTCCTACCATGTGAATCAGTTGTAGCTGGTGAATTTGGCAAGACTCAAGTTCTCTCATCTGAGTTCAGAAAACATCCGTTGGTTGATTGCTTGATCTCCTTCTTCCCTTGAGTCTTGCCAACCATAGTTTTCTGTGATCATCAGTTGTGGTCTACGATCTCTTTCTGTGACTTGACCAACTTCTCTCTTGGTCCTGTCATTCTCGCAACACTCCCCTCCAAAGACTTGTCTAGAGGTTGGATTGCCCTGCTCTCTGCTGGCACTGCAGCCTCCTGAAGTCTTTCCTTGCTGCATTCTGTGCTCACACTTTTGAAAGCTGCTCTCTTCTGCTCTGCTTTGTTGATTTGTGCACTTGGATTCTCTCATCTGTGCACTCAAGCTTCTCTCTTCCTGGGCAACTAGTGATCTCCTTGAAGCATTCCAGCTTTTGTCTAGAGGTCTTTCTATTGGTGTTGAAGGCAAGAGAAGCTTTAGGGTGATGGCGCAAACTAGCCTACCTCCTGGTTTCCGTTTCCACCCAACTGATGTTGAGCTTGTTTCCTACTACTTGAAGAGGAAGATCATGGGAAAGAAACTTATCGTCGATGCTATATCAGAGGTTGACCTGTACAAGTTTCCTCCCTGGGATCTACCTGGTAATTCATTTGAACATTAGCTTTCTAACTTTCTTTGTTGTGTAACTGGTGCTTAGATGAATAGAATATTCAGTGAGACTAAAACATAGTTTTTGAACTGATTGATGTGAACTTTTGCTTTTATACCAGTGCACTGATATTCTTTTGTTGTGCAGACAAATCCTCCCTTAGAAGCAAAGATCTTGAATGGTTCTTCTTTTGTCCTCGTGACAAGAAGTATCCTAATGGGTCTAGGACAAACCGTGCCACGCCAAATGGTTACTGGAAGACTAGTGGAAAAGATAGAATAATTGCACTTAACTCTCGCACTGTTGGAATGAAGAAAACATTGATATTTCATGAAGGCAAGGCCCCTAAGGGTGACAGAACTGATTGGGTGATGTATGAATACAAAATGGAAGATGAGGATTTGGTTTCTGCTGGTTTCTCAAAGGTAATTCTACCTGCCTCTTAATGTTCCAGTTCATATTTTACAAACAGTTTATAAGATGTTCTAGATGTTGGATGTTGTACTGGATTGTTGGATTGTGTGGACAGTCAAGCAGTCAAATGATTCCATGTTATGTTCTATGGATGATTAATAACTAACAAAATATGGTGTCACCTTAATTGCTCCTGTCTCATGAGTGTTATGTTTAGTCAAATCTAGCTGTGCCAATTCTTATACTTTTTGTTATGTGTTCAAGTTTTGTGAATGTCTTTTGGGTTGAATCTGTATTCTGCAATGAAGAGTGAAATGGCACAGAAAAAAGCACTAATTAATATGCAGTATATCTGAGTTAATGTGCCTTTTGATTAACCAATATGTATTCCATGAGCCATATAAGTTACCATGCTGAATCTCCTTTGTCTTGTTGAACATCCAGGATGCTTATGTACTCTGCAAAATTTTCAAGAAAAGTGGCCTTGGTCCTAGGATCGGGGAGCAATATGGGGCTCCGTTTGATGAAGCTGAATGGGATAATGCAGAAGCTGAATCTTCTATGTTTCCTTTGATGACCTCTTCAGAAGTAGTGAACCGAACAGAGGGACCACGTGCCCAGCCTGCTGCCCCTGCTGATGCTCTTCAGGAACCACCTCTACATAATTCATCTGCTACTTGTGCTGGAGAGGAATCATCATTTGATCATGCCACTGCAAATACTTGTGCTGAGGACGTAACGTTTGGCTGTACTGTTGCTAGCTCTGCTATCCAAGATATACCTGCTCAGATGTCAGGAGATGGTGTGGTTTCTGTGAACAACATATCCAATGAGGCCAATGATATGTACAGTCCTCATGACTGTGATAGTTTTCTATTGGAGGAGCTGTCTAGATTTCTGAATGATTCTCCTGTGCGTAACACTCCTTTTGGAGAGGTATAAATCAGTCTTGTTCTTTCGCTAGTTTCCTTGACAGCTCATCGTTTTTATGCTTCTGCTTTAGATTTGAAATTCTTTTTATGTTTCTGCTTTAGATTAGAAATTCCTTTCATATGCTCATTATTAGCTTTGATGTCTTTCACAGTGCTCTGGTCTTCCTCCGATGTCTGAAGCTGAGGCTCATGCTTTTGAAGTCAACTCTTTTGGCCTCTGCAATGAATTATCAGGGCTTGTTGGGTTAGGAGGCGTGGATAACAACTTCAACACCAGCAATGTGGAAACAACAGATTACCCTGTGCTGCCACCTGACAGAGAACTGTCCGCTGATGATTACATGGAACTAACTGGTCTCCTTGCTCCTGATCCAAGCTTCCCCAGTGAATTTCCTGCTCTGGACAATCAATATATGCAGTATCCTCTTGCTCAGTACAGTGGACATTATGATGTCCCTACTCTGTCAGGTCCTTCGGAACCAACAATGCCTAGCATTTTCGATGCTTTTCCTCCTTCCAATAATGGTGTACTTGCCACAGATGTGGCAGCTGACTACTTGGACCCAACCATGCAGTTCCCTTTATCATGATTGGTCTCCAATTGTCGTGGAGGTACGGATAGTTATGCCTGCTCTCTTTTTGTGTCCTTGAACATGTCTGGACTGCTTCGGTGTTGCAACTTGCAGTTCTCTGTTGCTACTACAACTCTTTATCCACCTTGGATGTCGGGGACGTCATCGATGTCATTCCTGGGCCCATGAAATTGTCTGCTGTTCTTCTGAACCAAGCTGACCAGGGCTCATGAAATCGTCTGCTGCTCTTTTGAACCAAGCCGACCTTGGCTGGTATTTCAAGGAAGCACGGTGCTTGGATCAATCTGCATCGACTATGGCATGCTCCCATCTGGTTGAGCTGACCGCCAATCTCGGCTCACTCTGCTGAGTATCAATAAGACTTGGCGTGTAAATCTCTGATTATGTTATTACCTGTGTGTATTGCAACCTGCATGATTGCCATCATTTTAAGCAGTTTGTCTTGTGTGTATTGAGTATTGACAATATGCAAACCATTATTATTGTCGCAATATGGAACGTTTAGTACTTTTATGTTTATCCCATACTTGTTATGTATTTCATTGGCCTTGGATCGTTGATGTTTACTTTGCTCTTACGTTCTCTTCTGTGTTTTGAGGATTTTTGTTGTCCCCGTTAGGCCTTTCGTTTTATCCTGAAACCAAGGGGGTTGGAGCCTTGGGGGATTGGACCCCCTTGGGTTGACGCTTTCTTTTGCTCTTACGTGCACAGGTATTTCTGTGTTTTGAGGATTTCTGTTGTCTCTTTCGTTTGAATATGACGGGAATTGGGAAGTAAGCAGTATTGGACTGCCAACTGCTTTCGAAACTTGTAGAATTAGACAGAATTTGACTATTTGATACTCCGAGCCTTTGTTTTTTCGAACGCTGGATGAGATGTGGAAAACCACATTTGCAGATGATTAATCTAAGAAGTCCGATACCCTGCGTAATTGTGCCCCATGTGAGGTAGGAACTGCTGATTCTGGTTTGGCCGCTGCTCTAGCATTGCTAAGGCTCCCTGATTCATTCCGTTGTTGCCGTACTGTCGCCACATCTGCTGCTCCTGCGTTAGAAGTTGCTGCTTCGTCTGCATGTCGGACATCTGAACATACGTCGGCGGAGGCACCAACGCCGACGCCGCGAAAGGGTCTGCACCTACTGCGGCGCCGCTGCCTCCTGGAGGCGCCGGCAGGGCGAGCATGGGCGCCCCTGGTGGCCGCAACGCCACACTGCTGGCGCTGCCGGAGAACGTCTGTGCGTTGTTGGCCACCGCCGCATGGTTGTACATCCCGTCCAGCACCATCATACTGCGGCCGCCGCCGAGCTCGGCGCGCTGGTTCGCAAGCGCGCTCGCGGACTGGACCAGCTCCGTTTCCCAGTCCGCCGAAGCGCCTTGGAACACGTTGCCTTTCGGCGCTGAGCCGGCTATGTCGCCGTCGAACAGCGCCAGCGCCAGCTGCTGTCCGTGCTCTTCGCCGGACATGGCGTCCGCCTTGAGGTTCAGGAAGTCGGCCTCCTCCTCGACCGGGGCGGCCACGACGAGAGGGGCCTCTGGGTCGACTTGCGCCGCGGCCGGCGGCTCCTCGGGCGCTGGAAGGGCCTTGGTGGCGTTCATATCGTCGTCGTCCTCTTCCTCTTCGACGAGGGCTGGCTCTGGGCTTGCCATCGGCTCCGGTTCCGGCGGCGGGAGCCTCTGCTGCGAGTCCGCGGCGGCGTGCCTGTCGCGGATGAACTCGTCCATTAGTTCCAGCTTCTTCTGCGTGACGACCTCCACCTCCGGGACGTCGGACTGGCGGCACACGCAGACGACCTTGCACCACGCGTAGAAATTCTCCAGCTCCTCCAGCTGCTTGGCGAGACCGGAGAAGAGGGCGTGCACGCGCTCGCAGTCAGCGGTCTCCATCTCCGCGAACTGCTCGATGAGCGTGGCCATCACCTCCGTGAGCTCGCAGTAGAGCTGCACGCTCTCCTTAACCAGCGGGTACAGAGACACCGCCACCACCCGGTTTGCCTTCGCCGCGCCTGCGACAATGTCATTCAAAGGTGAGCATGCATGATTTGGCTAGCTCTGAACAAATCCAGGGCAAGGATGGCCGCGAAGGATGTGGAACGGACTCACCTACAGGGCGGCAGGCGATGAACCGGTCGAGGAGATGATGCAGCTGGTTGGCCTTGACGAGCAGCTGATCCACCGTCATCTCGCTCGTGGGCGGGTCCCTGGTCACGAGCGCCACCGCCCTGCTGTGAGACTCGGCGTCCGCCGCGTCCTCCTGTCTCCCGTTGAAGGCGGCGACGTCGCAGGTGTAGCGGTTCCCGGGGGACGCGGCGTACATCTCCTCGTGGAGCGGCCTACCACCGCGCTCGGCGCCGCCGGCGCCCTGCTGCCTGCCCTGCATCCGGTACTCGAGGCGGTCGTCGAGGTAGGCGGCGTAGGTGCGGACGAAGGCGGAGAAGTCCCAGGCGTCGGCGCGGGAGCGGTCGCAGAAGTCGGACATGTTGAGCATCCGCGTCCCGCGCCGCGTGGCGAAGAACACCTCCTGCTCGAACGCCGGGTCCCCGTCGGCGAGGAGGCGGTGCACGATGACGAGCGTCTTGAGCGCGACCGCCCAGCTCCGGGTCCGGCCGAGGCGGCGCGACAGCGATGACACGCAGGAGCCGACGTACACCCGGGAGAGGCAGGTGAGCGTGATGATCTCCCGGATGTGGCGCTCGTCGGCCGGGAACGACTCGCTGTGCCTGGTGGCCTTGACGATGGCCACGTCCAGGTCCGCCTCCAGGGCGCCGCCGCTGCCGACCTTGGCGAGCCCGATGCTCGTCTGGTCCTTCACCGCGCCCAGCGCTTGGCGCAGCTTGCTCGGCGCCATGGTACGTTTCCGTCGTCGTCCTCCTCGCAGAGGTCGATCGCTTGCTCGCGATAGATTCTCGCCTCGCGCTTGGTCGGGATGGCCCTGTCGTGTGGACGGGCAAATGGACGTGTGGTGCTGGTGTTTGGGCGCGCGGCGGGTGATGGAAATGCGCGCGCGACGAAAGCGGGTGGCGGGAGGGCCGACCGAGGAAGGAGGAGGCCCCCGTGGGCATGACAGTGGATGTGTAGTTGACTTTTCTTATTATCTTTCTGAATCTTGTAGTATTTTTTTTAGTGATATATAAAATTGTTCACCGGAAGCCAACATTGTTAATCTCCTCTAACCGGTAAATGGGCTTATTTTAGTGGGCTTATTTCTATCCGGGCTTTAATTCAGCCTACGTGTTTACAGCTATGGGCCCGAACCCAAAATTTAGAACAGAGTGAGCACCTTCTTTTTGCACGACTGCAACTTATTCCGTATCCTACCTGCATGGATAATAATTGGATATAGCAGGAGTCGTTACTTTCACTGCTGAAAGTTAAATTTTCCCGCACGTGCTGCCATGCACCGATGCAGGTCACATTGCTACTAGACCATTCTCTTACGTTTGGCTTTCGGTATCCGTCCGTCCCCGTCCGTCCTGACGTCTCTTCAAGATGCGTAGTGGATCAGCCCAACAACCCCCTCAAATTCACTTGTCTGTTTCTAATAAAAAAAACGCTCATCGCTCTTATCTGCTCGTTGCTCCTATCCGCTCGTCGCTCCTATCAGCTTGGTGCTCCTATCCGCTTGCCTGTCGCCTTCGAGGAGCAGCGCTCGGCACTGGACTGCCGGCACTACTCGCGCGGCTGCCTCCGAGCCGTGGCGCTCGGCTGTCGGCCCTGCCTGCCAGGCATGACGCTAGGCCACCAAACTGTCGCCCCTGCCTACCAAGCGCGGCGCACGGTCGCCTCTGAGCCGCGCTTGCCCTCTGCCTTCCTGCCGCTTCGCGTGGCTGATGCCCCCCTGCCGCCTCGCGCCGCCAATGCCGCCGGCCAGCTGCCTACAAGCGCTGCTGGGCCACTGTCTCCGGCGAGCTCCACACGTCGACGAGCCTCCATTCTCCCAAGCAGGAGATGTTGCGATGTGCTAAAAATGCATGTTTCAAGCGTACGTTTCATGTGTTTCATAGGTATGTTGCAATTGTTTCATACGGATGTTGTAAAAGTAGATCGAGATATTGCATATGTTGCAATGGTTGCACATGTATGTTGCAAAGGTCTGTTTCCGATGTTTCATCTGTGTTTTCGGATGTATGTTGCAAGTGTGTTTTATCTTGATATTGCATATGTTTCACACATATGTTGTAAGTGTTTTATCTGGATATTCCGTATGTTTTGCAATGGTTTTCAAGTGTTTTTTCCAAGTGTTTCATAAGCATGTTTTAAGTGTTTTATCTGCCTTCAGACGTATGTTGCAAGTGTTGCATCTCGATGTTTCAAAAGTAAATCGGGTGTTGCATCTGCCTCGTCGCTTTTCTGCTGCCTTGCCTCGGTGTCTTCTCCTTCGGGTGTTGGCTGGGCATCCCCCGCCCCCTACTTCTCTTCCCGATACTGGTGACGTTTGGGACGATGCGGGAAAGTTGCACCGAAAGCGGATGGGGAGGGCGTAGGCGGTCCTCGCGTGGCATGCGCGTGCCAAAAGTGGAGGGGGCGCGAGCGGGAGGCGGGATGGGGCTCGGGTGTCCGGACGGGGGGTGGGAGGGGAGGGGGCTTCTACGTGCGCGCGGACGCAAGTGAATGGAGCAGCAGGCACCGCCATCCGAACGTCTGGGCGCTAGTAAGGCCCTTTGTCTTTGGATGCCTAGCATGTGCTAAGGTCGCAGGGTCGAAGCTCTCCTCACCATTGATTCCTTCTCTTGCATAATTCAGCACTTGCTCATCTTTGGATACATCACTATCTACAACTTTTATTTTGCTCATCTTTTTATTTGACAAAATTTGAACAGTTCAAAATTTGAAATTCAATAAATGGCAACTTCAAACAAGATTTTGAAACTTTAAATGATTTCAAATAAGAAAGTCATGAACATAAAAGTTGTTGAACACATCACTATCTATAACTTTTATTTTGGTCATCTTTTTATTTGACAAAAATTAAACAGTTTAAATTTTAAATTTCAATAAAT